TACATACAATAGGTCATAGCTACCTTGGAAAAAGTAAGATCATGCTTTGAATTAAGACGAGTAAAATTAAACATTTGCTCAATACCAACTTTACTTCTGCTGCGTCATGGACCACAGAGTCACATTGCGTCTCTGAAAATGTGTGGTGATTTTCTAAATGATACAACTTAATCTACATAAGAGCAAATAAGAGCAGTCCAAGGATTTCTTTTAAAACAAAAACATTGTGACAAACTTTCATTTCATGCGACATGGACAAAAATACTCTTTGAAATATTTACTCTTTGACACCAAAGCACAGATCTTGATTTATAACATTTTTTATTTTATTTTTGAACAAACGATATTTAGTCAAAATATAACTTAGGTTAAATTTGATGCAAATCATTAATATTATACAGAAGTCTTGTAAGATACGATTTTAATAAAACTTTAAAGATTTGATTTAAACAATCTTTTAATTTTAAAAGATCTAAACTTTTAAGAGTATGCTTTTAAATGAATTTACAATAAATAAAGCTCTGAAAAGCAGACTAGCATTGCACACGCTGTGACATAATTGTGGCCCAGAGGCTTATCTGTCCTGTAACTCCTCCGTCTCTATGAGGGTGTGATGGTTCATCTCGAATATGCTGTTACAGAACAAAAATCGTTATGGCTATATTAATAAAAATTATACTTTAGGTCGCCGTTACAGTCAATCATTAGAGTAATCTTCTAAAAGATAAATAGAAGATACGAATGTATTCAAACTATAAAGATTTAATTTAAACAATTTTTTAAAAGATCATATTCAAACTTTTACGATTATTCTTTGAAATAAATTCTTAAATCTAGACTAATGTCATATAGCTACCATATGTAGAAACATGTTTAGATTTTATGTTTTCTTAGCGAAACAGGTGTGACAATGATGTGATACACCCCTTGTAAGATTTTGTGTAAGGCAGACACATCCTCGTGAAAGTGACTCTCATAATGAACACACCCACACAGAACATGTCTGCCGTGCGCTGGGTGTTTGAGAGAGAAAGAGGGAGAGGGGGAGAGAGAAAGAGAGAGAGAAATATTATTTTTATATAGTTTATTTTTATATTTAATGTATATACTTTTAAAGAACAGCATGTTTTTCAATGTTATAGTATGAAATATTATATTTGTAAATTAATAATTGCACATTTATAACCATTTCATTTATATACTTTTGAAGATCAGTGTTTTTCAACTATAGTTAGTGTTAAATATTATATTTGTAAATGACTAGATGTAAATTTTATAACCATTTAATTTATATAGAACATAATGTTTTTCAACTTTAGTGTGACATATATCATTTCATTTATTTTAATTTCATTTATTTATAAAGCACAACAGAAGCTGACCACTGTGCTGTACAAATGGAGAAGTAAAAAACAAACCACACACACAATGCACTAATAACAAACTATAAAACACTAGGTTAGGGTTTAGAGAAACCAACGTTATGAATGAAATGCAAGAGTAAAAACATTAGACTGTAGCTTAGATTTAAATTCATGTACAAATGATGCGGACCTCACAGATAAAGGAAGAAGACTATTCCATATCCTAGGACCGGCCGCTGAAAACGCACGATCCTCGCAACTTGAATCTTGGATATGGCAGTATAATGCTGTCTGAGGATCGCAACGATCTTGTTAATTTTTTCACATTTAAAAGATCTGACAGGTAGGATGGTGCAAGACCAGTCAAAGCCTTAAAACTAGCAACAAAATTTATATAACACACTGGCAACCAATTTAGAGATAATAAAATCGTAAAAAAAAAAAAAAAAGTAATGTGTGCTCTCGTTTAGAGTCTAAATAATCGTAGTCAGTATTCGGGGTTTGCTTTTCCAACAGAGGGGCCAAAAAACAATTGCTTCAGTCTTACTCTCATTCAAGTGCAGAAAATTCAAGGACATGCAGGACCGTACGTCAGATAAGCAGGCAAGCAAAGTTTCTAGGCCTTGCTTGTCATTATGTTTCAAAGGGAGATAGATTTGAGTGTCGTCTGCATTAAAATTAAAAGATACTGCGTGATTCCTAAAAATTGAGCCTAGTGGTAGCATGTATAGTGAAAGTAATTATAATATATATATATATATATATATATATATATATATATAAATTGTCCTCACTTTCACAGTGTCTTCAGGAATGCGGAGGGTATCATGTAACACACACACACACACACAGATAAGTGCGCCCGGGCCCCCGTCTGACTTTGAGGTTTTCAGGATTCAGAGAGGTCTAAAGTAATTTATTGATATCAACTCTTTCTCACACACATAGGCAGAAGACTGTGCGACATAGTGACCTGGCTGTGAATCTGGGATCAATCTGGGATCTTTTTAACTTTAAATGTATGGACATTTTATTGTATTTTGAATTTTGGTTCTTTATCTGTACCCTGACCGTGAACTGCGAGGTACATCAAACCATCAGCTGCATTTCATGCTTGTCTCCCAACAGATGAAATAGCGTTCAACAGATTATAACTGGAAAATAAATGATTAGCAAAACACACTACCTGTTGTTTTGAAAGGAATTATAGTCTTGTTTATTTTAACTAAACATAAAAATCTGTGTAACTCACACAGAGACATAAATGCACCTATCTGCCTGCGTGATAGAGAGAATCACTCAATCTTTTTTATTTTATTTTAAATGAACTGAATGCTTTTCAACTTTAATTATTGTGAGATATGTAGCATTATTAGTAAAACTATTTTTACTTTAAACTACTTTATCTTTAATTCAACATTATCAAGGCTAGGTGGTCAATAGGTTAAAAAACTAACTGTCAAATCCCATTTGATCCCTTTAATCTTATCTTTACAAATAAAAACAAATAATAAAAAAGGACATTATCAAAGCTAGGCGGTCAACAGGTCATAAAACTAACTGTCAAATTCAATTTGATCCATTTAATCTTATCTTTACAAATAAAAACAAATGTTAAAAAAGGACATTATCAAGGCTAGGCGGTCAATAGGTCATAAAACTAACTGTCAAACCCGTTTGATGCCTTTTGATCTTATCTCGCTAACACAGATGGCTCTCTTTTTATCTCATTTTTGATACTTTTTATCTCATTTTTGATACTTTTTATCTCATTTTGATACTTTTTATCACCTCTTATCTCCTTTGCTCTAGATTCAACCCTTTCATCCTATGCCAAAAGGGGCGTGGGAAAGGGGCGGGAAGGGGCGGGAAGGGGCGGGAAGGGGCGGGTCACCTGTCAATCAATCATCTTTTTGACATAAAGTGCATCCTATTACTACTCACCAGATTCACAAATGTCAAGACTGCTTGACCGAAGCAAGTGAAGATGTGCGATTGCTGCGCACAAAAAGTGGGTGGTAAACAGAATTTAATTTAAAAGTGAGGTCTGTGTACATTTTCTAGTGAATGAAGAATGTTAGAACTTGGCAAACATCCAGACTCAGAGTGTATTCAAGTGCACTTTTAGCATTTTAAAGAGCCAGTTCAAGTGTCTGTAGTAATACTTGAGTCGCAGTAAAACATGCCAAATGGATGTTTTCTGATGCATCTTCCACTTCCAAGTAACCTACGGGTATTTCAACGCATTCTCATCCTAAGGCGTCAAATACTGACATATACATCCAAAGCACATGGCACCCTTTAGCGTCAATATAACATTTCAGTTATTTTAGGTTTAGGTCTGGGGTAGGGTTAGGGTTAGACCACTAGGAGGCGCCTTCTTGCCCGTATATATCTGCGTCTCATATTGACGCTAAAGGGTGCCATGTGCGTCAGATGTAGACGCATTGTCAAAAGCGCCAGTATATGATGCATATGGTATTTATAATATCTATAACTGTAGGGGTAGATATATTATGCTTTAATCTTGTACTTTAGGAACAGGTTATACATAAAATATATGCAATAAAATACATATAAATTGATAAATAGAATAGAATGTTGCCATAAATTATTAGCAAATTGTTAAAAGCTATGCATCTTTTTTTAACTTAGACACACTTGTGTCTTCTCTGTAGTATGGAAGCTTGTTTCTGCCACAGAATGAAAAATAAAAAAGTTTACATCTCACAATTATGACTTTATTTCTCTGAATTGCGAGATATAAAGTCAGAATTGCGAGATATAAAGTCAGAATTGCGAGAAATTAAGTCGCAATTGCGTGTTATAACGTCAGAATTGTGAGATATGAAGTCAGAATTGCGTGTAATAAAGTCAGAATTGCGAGATATAAAGTCGCAATTGCGAGATATAAAGTCAGAATTGCGAGATATATAGTCGCAATTGCAAGATATAAAGTTGTAATTGTGTGTTATAAATTCGCAATTGCGAGATATAGTCAGAATTGTGAGATATAAAGTCAGAATTGCGAGATATAAAGTCAGAATTGCGAGGTATAAAGTCAGAATTGTGTGATATAAAGTCAGAATTGCGAGATATGATGTCGCAATTGTGTGTTATAAAGTCAGAAATGCATGATATAAAGTCAGAATTGTGAAATATGAACTATTCTGAGGGGGGAAGAATTGGCCTAATAACTCGCAATTGCGAGTTTATATCTCACAATTCTGAAAAAAAGATGTCAGAATGTCAAGATATAAACTCGCAATTATGTGTTACAAAGTCAGAACTGTGAGATGTAAACTCGCAATTGTGAGAAAAAAGTGAAAATTGTGAGATAAAAATTCGCAATTCTGTTTTTTTTTCTCAGAATCGCAATTCTGACTTTATAAGACGCAATTGCGACTTTATATCACACAATTCTGACTACATATCTCGCAATTGCGACTTTATTTCTCACAATTCTGACTACATATCTCGCAATTGTGAGATAAAAAGTCGCAATTACTATTGTTATTATTTTTATTCAGTGGCGGAAACAAGCTTCAATGTTGTAGTGTCTTCCAGTCTTGAAAGGACTCCAAGGACTCTCTCGCATATGTGACAAGTGACTGTGAGCGTCTTTTCTCTCCTCAGGACCTCCGACCATCTCCAGCACTCAGACACATCAGGCTCCACACGGGGAAAAGGGACAGATCAAGTGTTTCATCCGCAGCACGCCACCCCCAGACCGCATTGTGAGTTGCTCTCCTTCCCGTGACTCGGCTCAGACAGGACTACAGCTGTTGAGTGGGCGCTTGCTGTTGTCACATGGCTTGTGTGACTCCATTAGACTCAGCAAACACAGTCCAATAATACATGACGCACTCATGAGTTACGATCTGTTTAATAAATGAAATTGCATCTCAAATCATTTGTTTCCTCTATATGAGTGAACGGGTATTAGACATGGCAGGCTTACAGCCTTAATTTCTCATTTAATGCATGCTTATGCCCTGTTACCACAGATCCAATTAGGATTTACCACTCTTAGATGAACTGTCTCCTCTCCGGGCCAATTTTTGATTCATTACTCACTCTGTGGAGTGTGTGTGTTTGTGGCCGTGTGCATGGAAGTGCATAGGTAATCTCTGTACGATGTTTACTCTCTGTGTGGCTTTGCTTTTATTGCCATGCTATTTCTAAATGTCAGTTGAATGGGAAATACTGCTCCTGTGGTCTGGAACAACCAGTAATAACTTTAGAAGTGTAATAACGCCCATAAAGCAGATGAAAGCTAAGGCAAGTCTCTGTTTGCAAGCTGAAAAGACCAGCTTGCACCAGTAGGCTGATTCAGGCTGGTTAATGTTGCTTAGTGCTGGTATAACTGGTAGAGTCATGCTATTTACCCGAAGAAAGAAAAATGGTCTTGCGTCTTTCAAATGGTACCACTTTGCAACAAGATTAACATTAATATTAACTAGCAATGATCAATATTTCGGTAACACTTTATTTTGATGGTCCCTTTTGAACATTCTGTTGACTATAAGTAACTTTTCAACTACATGTCAACTAACTCTCATTAGAGTATTAGTAGACTGTCAGCTTAATATTTGCCAAATCTTTATTGTGATGCTCCTCCAACAGACAATCTACTGACTATAAGTAACTTTGCAACTACATGCCAACTTATTCTAACCCTAACCCTACCAGTCTACTAATACTCTACTAACACTCTAGTGAGAGTTAGTAGAGATGTAGGTACAACGTTACTTATAGTAAACTGAATGTGTTAAAGGGACCATCCAAATAAAGTGAAACCAATATTTCTACAGCATTTATTAATCTTAGTTAATGTTGCATCTTTTAATGCGCTGTGAACTAAAATGAGCATGGGCATTTTAAAAATAATTTTAACATTAATGAAGGTTAATAAATGCCGCAAAAAAATACATAGTTATTAGCTAATAAGGGCTACATTAAACATTGACTTGTTTAAGACTTTTCTATCATTTTTGTACCCCATCTGCTCCATTTTTCAGATTTTAACACTTTCTTCGCCAGTGTTTATATACAGTATATATATAAATATATATAAAATTGCCATCCACCGCTAGTATTTTTGATCATTTTTAAAAACTTTCAGCCCCCATAATATTTTGTTGCATGTATCTATTTACAGAAAGAGAGAGAGAAAAAAACATTTTATTCTTTTATTTAAGCTTCATGCACTCTTTTTTTTTTCATCAATGCGTGAATGTGTTTCGTTAAAAAAAAGCTAAATTTTTCATTTCAAAAACTACAGCTGGATTAGATTCAGAACGATGACCAAAACAAACATGGAGTATATTGAGACCATCAATGACCCCAATGATTCAAAAACCTGTTATTCATCCTGGGTCGACATTTCATTCTGTAACAATTTTCGTTTTTGATTTATATAATGTTGAGTAAGCAATGCTTATATTGCTTGTTTGATTCAGAGATTCCAGCCCATTCTCATCCCACGGCGTCACATACTGACACTTTTGACAATGCGTCGACATCCGACACACATGGCACCCTTTAGCGTCAATATGAGATGCAGATATGTATATGGGCCAGAAGGCGCCTCCTAGTGGTCTAACCCTAACCCTACCCCAGACCTAAACCTACCCATAACCGAAGCGTGTTATATTGACGCTAAAGAGTGCCATGTGCGTTGGATGTATACGTATTGTCAAAACCATCACTATATGACGCCCCATGATGAGAATGCGTTTGAGATTCTTTAATCTAAAGATGTGTAATAGCGCCCCCTATACCATATAACAGTAAAAACATGGATTGCCACAACAATATGTAAATGGTGGGAAAGAGTTAAGCAGAAACCTCAATAAAATATATTAGTTGTATGCCTTTGCATCAAGACCAGCATCAAGAACAACATGCGTATGTTGGTCTTTACAATATGGTTTCTTTTGTTCTTCATCAGGCCTGGTCCTGGAAGGAGACTGTCCTGGAGTCGGGGACGTCCGGTCGCTACACGGTGGAGACCGTAAGCACAGAGGACGGAGTGCTGTCCACGCTCACCATGAGTAACATCGTACCTGCCGACTTTCAGACCATCTACAACTGCACCGCCTGGAACAGCTTTGGCTCGGATACAGAGATCATTCGCCTCAAGGAACAAGGTGGGATCCAAGGTCCGACAGGTTCCACCTTCTTTTCTTTAAAACATGTCTGCGGTAGAATAGTGATGCAGTGTTTCATAACCATGTTTTCTGAAAACACTGGAATAGACAAAAAACATTTATCACTTTATACATTATGTATCACTTTATATGAGATTTGCAAGTCACATCAACATCATATTAATCTCTTTTTTCTTAATTTACCAGTTTTAGATTACTTTTCATTTGGCAATCGGCAAATGAGTATTTCATTGCAACAGCAAAAGTAATTGCTTTTAACTGCAACTTTAATAAATCTTGTAAATCTATTAACAACACTTAGCACTATTTAATTTGCAGCCTTGCTACAGTTAATTATTTCTCTCTTGTGCATTTCTTACAATTGCGATTTCATGGTTTGGATTTATTTACATGTAATACATTTTAGACATATTTTGTCTCACTTGATCTTTTTTTTTTCATGCAGTGTGTACTATAGCTGTTTGTGAATGTAAAAAGGTCTGCAAAGTTTTAAATATCTTGCAAAGTAACAATGAAACTAATTTGCATAATGCTCCTACGCTCTTTATTGGCTGTCCGTGAACAAAGTCTGCTTTTCCCCTCTCTCAAACATTTAGTTGTAGCGTGAGTTGTCGACATGCACACGATATCCACTTTCCATGCACTTCAGAAGAATGAGACTTGCGTTTTAATTAATGCAGAAATTGTCACCATTGTTAGTGTTCATACCACTATCAGAGCTAAGGAAACCTCCGGAGCTGAAATTCAGATATGGTAATGAGTGTTTAGTTTCCAACACGTTGACCAATCACAACAGACTGAGCCATCCGACCAATCAGAGCAGAGAAGGCTCTCAGAAAGAAGAGATTGAATCTTCGTATGAACCATTTTCAGGCTCTTTGAGAAATGAGGTGATGTGCAATGTTTATTATGGGAAAACTAAAGTCGGCATGCAAACCTATTGTAGAAGACTATAGAAAGTAAATAAGAAACCTTTAAAATAACATAATTTTAATTTTAATAAACTAGTTTCCACCACAAAATGAGAATTTGGCCATCGTTTACTCATTTCAAACCCTTATGAATTTTGTATGTAGAAGACATTTTACGAAATGTGCTGGTTGCTCTTTTCCTTGAAATTACAATTAATGGTTACAAACATGCAAATGCATAAAAAAATAATGGTATACAACTCTTCCAAAGTCTTCTAAAGCCATACAATAGCTATCTTTGTGGAACAACCCTTTTTGGGTAAACTATTCCTTTTGTATGAAACACTCTCAGAAAAAAAGGTACAAAAGCTGTCACTGGGGCTGTACCTTTTCAAAAGGTACACTTTTGTACCCAAAGGCTGCATATTGGTACCTTAGTGGCACCAAAAATGTACATATGAAGAGTTCAGATGCAAAAGCCTCTAAATGCCATTTGAAATTTTCTTCTTTAATGATGATTTTTATCAAACTTGTATATTTAAGTTCAGTAATTTCACTTAAATAAGAATTAATAGGTAATTATCATTGCCATTTAAGTGAAATCACTGAACTTAAATATACAAGTTTGATAAAAATCATCATTAAAGAAGAAAATTTCAAATGGCATTTAGAGGCTTTTGCATCTGAACTCTTCATATGTACATTTTTGGTGCCACTAAGGTACCAATATGCAGCCTTTGGGTACAAAAGTGTACCTTTTGAAAAGGTACAGCCCCAGTGACAGCTTTTGTACCTTTTTTTTTCCTGAGAGTGAAAATGCATGCAGTAATGCAGACATTAAATATGCAAATATGTTTGTACGCAGGAGTCATAATGCTTAATTTACCAGAAGACAGTAATTGGCATCGTACAGCTTATTGTCTGACTCTCATTATCATTTGGCCATAAAATCTGGTCATCATTCGGTATAAATATACCAACAAAAGTACAAATAAAACAGTTGGTTTGGCTTTAATTAGCCAAAGCACAGCTTATTAAACACTCATGGGACTGTTGGAATTCACATTACACCCACGTACAATCACAGTATGTAAATGATCCAAGGTGAATGATAAAATCCGACGCGGAGTTCGCGTTCAAGACATGTTAAGTGCGTGTCGTGTGCTAAACATATGCGATAATTGGCATCTCTGCAGATTGTTATGACTGGTTTTCATGTCAACTGAGCATACCTTTGCTTTCTCCAGAAGGTGATGGCACTGTTAATTGCCTTTGAATAAATGCCTTGAAGGTGCAAATGTCTCTTTGACACAACATTTGATTCTCATTTGTTCCGTGCCGGTGCGGGTCTTGAAATATGTTCAGGAGTGAGAGGTTGCTGGATCCACCAGTCTTGGCCATGCTGTGTTATTGTAGAAGGCTCTGTTTTGTTTCCCGACAGAATCTCTCCCTGTTGCTGTGATCATCGGTGTGGCAGTTGGCGCTTTCGTTGCATTCATCGTCCTCATGGGAACCATCGGAGCGTTCTGCTGTACGCGCTCTCAGAGAAGTATGTACCTCTCAACCAATTGGCTTCCTGCATGTCCATCACCAGAACAAGTGCTCCTCAGTCAGACAAAGGGCAGGCTGTTAAGGTGTTCATGTCACTTCACAGAAACCAAGCCTTTATTTCTATATTCCTTTTAGTTGAGTGTTTGTGTAGGGTTGGGTGGTATGACGGTATAGACCAGAAATGCATCAGCCGGTAAAAATTCTGTAATGCTCATAAAACCGTGGTTAAAAACATAATGTTATGACACCTTGACATAAACCAATACATCATAACCTGTCAGTGTCTTTGTCATGACAACTTGACATTACTAAGACAACACAACCTGTTATAAACATGACATAGCAACCTAGATTTATTGGTTAACAATAAATTAAACTGTCAGGTGGTTGGTTTCGACATTGGCTGTCATGAAGACATTATAACTTTTTAACCACTGTAGAAAAATATTCATGACACAGTTATAATGCCTCATGACAGCCAATGTCAAAGCCAACCACATAACAGTTTAACTTAATTGTATGTCAAGATGTCATAACAAAGACATCTTAAACAATGTCCAACCCAATCTCACGACCAAGTCGTACGAATTCGACGAATGATTAAAAAGTGGCTAATTCGTAACAATTCATACGACCTCACTCGTACGAATTAATACGATTTTGCTAAATCGTACATATTTTACGAATTGGCCAATTCGTATGAATTCGTACGAACGACCTACCCCTGACCCCGCCCCTAAACCTAACCATCACGTGGGTTTAGACAAATCGTACGAATTAGTACGTGTGAGGTCGTACGAATTAGACACTTTTTAATCATGCGTCGAATTCGTACGAATTGGTCGTGAGATAGTGTTGCAATGTCATATTTGCATTCAAAATGTCATTATTGAGCAAAAGACACTTAATGACAGTTGTCATAAACATGTATAAATCCTACTTCATATTCAAGACATATGTCATGTCATGGTTATGAAGGTGTCATGTCAGTCTTATGAACAACCCTTCAAGTAAAGTGTTGCCGAAAAGTAGTATTTTTCCACTGTTGGTACGCCATGTGTTTTTGGTGTCATTTGTAAGGTTTAATTGTTGGTTACTTACAGGGATCTAGAAACATTGCAACTTGATTTACATTAAGTTAAAAATTTAACTGAATGGGTGTTATACCAACACATGCGAGGCTGATACGTATTATGTATTACTGAGTTTTTTGTTATTTACGTGTGCATTTTAGTGCATGATTTTGACATTGTAAAATTCAGAGATTAAATGGTGTAATATATACTGAAAAATGTTATTCGTAATGCTATAACTACTCTTGTAATAAAATGTCACTATGTGAATCATGATTCTCCAAATCTTACATTCATATTTTCTTTTTTATGTGGCAGTAAAAGGCTTTTTTTCTTAGAAATCTCTTAGAGGCTTTTGTCATACCGCCCACCCTTAGCTCTGTTTCTTATTTGTTTTCCTTTTACCGCATCCATTCTCTCTCATGATCAAAAGAGAAAACAGCTCATCCATGTACAGGTTAGCGTCAGACAGCCGAAAATGAGCTTGCAGTTTACCATTGTTGGTGGCATTTCTAGCGTTGAGCATGTTGTTGTTGTATGCCACAGAAGACGCTCACCTGGTTATGCCTACACTGCCCACCTCCATCTGTGCTCAGCAGAGAGAACTTGCAAGCAAAATTAAGACAGAAAGTAAGACCTGTTACCTGACCGTCACCAATTATCTATAAACATTGTTCTTCAATGCGTCAAGATGAGCTGTGTGATTCTAATGTGATGTATAATGGTTCCTCTAGGGTTCCTCTTATCTTAGTTCTGTAGTGTTATGTTGCCTTCAAGTCCTTCCTACTGAAGATTGAGGATGTTGTAAACATGAAAAAAAAAAAAAATGGGCAATTTAATATTTCAGTTACACAGGGTTGCATTGGTTAACTGCATTAGGTAACATGAACTAAGAATGGAAACATATTATAAAGTATTTTTGTTAATGTTATTTTTTTAATATTTACTAATACATTATTAAATCAAAAATTGTATTTGTTCGTTTTATTTCATGGACATATATATATATATATATATATATATATATATATGAAAAAACAGGAGTAGGATTTACTTGAAAAAAGCTAGGTAACTTTTTTCACTCAGATAATGTTAGTAAATTTACAAAGATTTGCCAAGTAAAAACCTAAACATATTTATCAGTAGCTTTAATTAGAAATCTTTAAGTTTAATTTACTTTGAATATGGAATTAAGTAAACTTTACAGAAAATACGTAATTTCAACTTGGCTAGTAAGTCGATTTAGTTGAAATTTCCCTTGCCTTTGCATTGCATTTCACTAAAACAATAATATTGAATTTTATTTGTCATATATAGTTTGTGCTTTACTTAGATCATCTAAGTAATTTGTATTACATCATGTCAGATGTGAAGCGTCATGTGAATGCAAACACCTCAATACTTGGTAGACAATACACAATGGCGGTAACATTTAGTGGGTCGTTTTTGTATTTGAATGTGTCATTTTGAGCAAAAAATTTACTCGAAATGTCACAAAATGGCAAGTTACTACTATTGACAAAAAAAAAAAATCAATGATAAAAGTGTAAATACAGCTGGAAACCAGTAAAAAATGAACCTCATTAATTATTCAAGGTCCAGTGCATGATGGGAACCCCAGTATCAGAAAAACGGAGTAATTTTTACTTAATTTTATTGAGTTGATATTTACACTTTCATTTCTACTTGCTTGAATTAAGTACTGATATGGAATTTACTTTTTTTAATTCTTGTCTGAACTAACTTTTTTTCAGTAGTATTTACTTCACCAAAAAATATTTTTTACAGTGTAATAGTGAGTATTAACTACAACTTTTGCCCTCAATAAACTCTGCTTAATATGGTTAATATAATAAGAATATGGTCATGCAGAATAAGGCATTGATATGTGCTTTATAAGTAATAATATACAGCCAATATCTTAGTAATATGCATGCTAATAAGCAACTAGTTAATAGTGAGAATTGGACCCTAAACCATGAATTATGATATTAATCAATTATTACAATAAAAAAACCCCACATTTATTAAAATATAATATAGGCTAATTCTCAAAACTATAAATTCTTAAATATCATTACATGCCCCATGTCAGAAAGTTGGGATTCATCTTAGTTTGTAAACATGACTTGAAGGCAACATGCGTTTTAGGGATTCTTATGAAGGCAAATGTGAAGTGGCATGGAGATAGATCATATTTCACATCAGTACATTACGCAAAATGGCACGACCGGAGTAACATATGTAACTTTCCTCTCAGACCTCAAAGGTGTGGTGTCAGCCAAGAACGACATCCGAGTGGAAATTGTGCACAAAGATCACAACGCCGCCCGAGAAAACGAGGAACACGCCGCCATGAAGCAACTCATGGTGAGTCACTTTCTGAAGTAAACATCCCGCTTGCCATTACCCCATCAGCACCCCCAAATCAACAAGCTAGCTCATTATACTAGTCCCTGTCACGTCCTTAGCTAATGAATGCTAATCATCCCCACCCCAACACTAATAGCGCCTATCTCCCTCGCCACGGCTAACGTCAAACCCATGAATAATGCAGCATAAGTGGGAGAACCCTGCTGGCCTGGATGCCTATATTTAGCCCCTAGCCTGCATTTCCTGGGAGGACATGGGTATAAATGTAACCATAGAGATGCCAGTGATCAAGTGTTTGTCAAAAAAAAAAAAAAAAAAAACATGCCGCCCCCTTCTTTGGAAATTTCACTCATTGCCACAACACGCCTCAAAGGCCTAGAATCAGAGCTAGATTTGAGTTAAGTATGCAAAACTTTTGACAAAGCAAGACGAGGAATTTGGACACCCCCCAAAGATTGTGTTGGCTAATGACATGCAAAATATTCACAGGAAATTGCCCCAGTTGAAGTAGCTTTCCTTTTGGAGTTTGGAAGTGTTTTGGAGTACCAAAGCTGCTCAGCGATTTGAAGGGAGAGAGCAACCTAGATATTAACGTGGGGATGGGTCTGTTGTTTGCTGCAGATTGAACGGGGAGAGTTTCAGCAGGAGTCCGTTCTGAAGCAACTTGAGGTTCTTCAGGAAGAGGAGAAAGAGTATCAGCACATCAAGGTATGTCTCCATGGGATATGAAGGAAGTGATATAAGAAAGAGAGGAGTTGTTTGATATATGCCACCCCTCTCAAATATCCTCAATGCACATGTTGTAGGGCTCGCAGTCAGTTCAAATATTTAATAGTGATTCATGCAGTACTTTTACAGAAAATAATATGAGCGTAATAAGTACTGCAGTTACAGTACTATACTCTTAAAAAAAGAAAAAAAAAATATATATATATGCATAAATAGAAATAAATAAAAAAGATAATCGGTAACACTTTAATAACTATGTGCTAATAATCATTAGTTAAACATGAGTAAACAGTTTATTCATTTTTATAACAGTTTTATAAAAACAGCTATAAATGCTTTCTTTGTTTAATTTATTTTTTTTAATTGTTTTTATCCTTTTAAATGAAGAATTGCATTTTTTATAAACCAGTTATTTAAGACTTTACTTAGTAAATAATTTATAAACTATTTAAATGTACATTCATACATATTATTCAAACATATAGTGATGTTGCTTAGTGTATTAATAAATGCTTTATTAACATGTAGTTATGCTGTAATTCAGGGTTAATTTGGGTAGTTATAAAGCATTTAGTAGTGGTCAGTTGACTATGTTTGTGAGCACATCTAAAGTGAGGACTATTCATGCTTTATAAAGCATTTATGAAGGAGATTTAAAGGCTGTTAAATATTTCTATGTTCTGTATCACTGTGTTGTGTGTGTTACATTTTACTGTTTAGAAGATTGATACAATTATTAAATGCATTATTGATATGCTTATAAATCAAGAAAAAAGCATGTATAGCCTATTTATAACTGCTTATTAATGCTTTATAAATGATGAACTAACTATGCTCAACAAATGATTAATAGCGTGCCATAAAGTGTTACCAGATAGGGTACATATTCATTTTCAAATAATGGTTCTTACTCATAAACAATATTCCATACTTGTTGAGCTGCAAATGTAATTACTTTTCTCTACACAGTTATCTTCATTTGATTTATAAATAAATCAGCCAAGGTCTTCCTCCATCATTTTCTCAAACAAGAGCTCTGCTAGGGGTCTGTTGTGTGGGAGCACACTTAAGAAGTAACAAAATAAGCAGTTTTAATGTGAAACTAAAGTAATGCGACAACTGCGTTCATAATGAGTGTTCGTCATTTACGCCAGGAAATTGCTTAGAAGATTGATATTTAAAATTGTGTTCAGCCAAAACCAATATTTAAGGAGAAAAACAAATTAAAGTCTTATACGCAATTATACTTGCCCTTTAAGCATTTGCACTGATCATCGAGTATGTTAAGTAAGATACTAATTTAGCTAAATTTAGTGTGAGCACAACGAACAACTATTGTAATTACAGTTCGGTTAACATATGATCCCACCGTTAAGCAGACAGCAGTTCCTGACAAAAGTAGCATAGCTTTTGTTCTCTCGTTTGTACTTATTTTCAAGTTCCTAAACCGTTTCATGACCCGCTCTACCTGCTCCCAGTGGGATTCCCTCCCTACATGTAGATGAGTGTGTAAAATGAGCAGATATGGAGCGCACACAATCCCTGTTGCCTGATAAAACCGTGCCTGACGACGCCTTTCTCGTGTTGTCATAGAGAAGTCACCTACAGGTGATAATCGTCTCTCCCCTGCGCTCCCGCTCAAAATGGCATCCACGTCCACTTTTGTCATCTGTTTTGCTTCTTAGCAACCGTGCTGATATAGCACCACGACAACGACAGCAGCCATGGTATCAAGTTCATTCGCTTTGATTTCCATTACAGATTTAAAAGTCCTGATTCTGAAGTCCAATTAAAGCTGAAAAGTACAGACTAACAACCAGTTTGTGTATCAAGGTTTTGTCTAATTAGCCTGTAATGATATTTATAGGTTACTGCTTAAGATGGTCGCTTTACTCGGGTGACTGATCCAAGTGATTTATTACCACTGTTTGATGTTTGATGTATTTCTAGCCTTTTTAAATGCTCTGAAACAGAAGGGCACTAAAGAAAGAAAGAGAATATGTGCATCACACAAGAAATTGTCAAGAAATGTAGCTTTGACTTACAGTGCTAGATGATGGTCAAAATAAAGGAGAAGCATTTACAGTAGTAACAAACATTACCCTGCGATCAAACGCATTCCTATTTTGACAGGATTAAATTAGTCAAAGAAGAGTTAGTATAAAAATAATAGATAATGTACTGCAATATGGTTGCCAAGGTTGCATGAGAAAAAACACAGACGTGTCCAATTTGAATGAGATAAAATCACAAAATACAGTAACTCTTAATTTTGATGGTCCACTTTAGACATTCTACTAACTATAAGTTTGCAACTACGTCAAATAGCAATAATTATAGAGTATTAGTAGACTGTCTGTTTAATATCTGCTAACTCTTTATTTTGATGCTCCCCAACTGACTATAAGTAACTTTGCAAGTCTACGTCAACTAACTCCCATTCAATTGCAAACTACATGTCAATGTTGACATTTAGTTGTAAAGTTACGAATATTTAAATTGGATTATCAAAATAAAGTGTAACTCAAAATTCATATTTGAAACACAAATTAAGCTAACCTCCTCACGGTTAAAGGCCAATTTATACTACGCTGTAGTGTAGGCGACGCCGTCGTTAGCATTTATACTTCTTCAGCAGGTCTTAGTTGCTCTGCAGTACTGCTCCGAAAAGCTAGTTGGCGGCGGAGGGTTTTAATGTTCCACTGTGTTTAGATTCCTCGCGGCGAGGTTACTACAAGCAATGGCGACTGAAAGAGAGCGGATCATGTTGGAGTTGGACCTTATTGAGGTGGAAAACAGTTAATTTTAGTGAAATTACTAAAACTAAAAGGCATAAACAAGAGAAGACGTCGGAGGAGATGGTATGTGCGGAAATGCCTGAGATGGTACGTGTGGAAATGCGATGCTACCAAGCCGACCAATCGCAGATCTTGCGGTCCGCGTCGCCGCAACATGTAGTTACATTTTTGAGGAGGTGCGCGTCAGGCTACGGCGAAGAGTACGCGGTATGGTACGTATCTGTGCGTATGCTACGCTGTACCTACTGTGCACACCCTACATAGAAGTATAAATTGGCCTTAACTGAATATGGCTACAGTATATTTACACGGTATAATAGTATTTAGACTTGAATGAAGATGATTAGCAGTTCTGTTCTGACTGGACGAGAGGATGAGGTGGGGATGTTGGAGGTTAACTAGCTCCTGAGCAACACAATAAAGCTGATTGGACCTTTATAAAGGAATTCTGTGATAGGCGTCGTATTCCTAGATGTGTCAGCTGATGTGAGCTTGACTGACGTGACCTCCCAGAACGAGCGCTACTCTTGATTTTTCGAAAGTTTGACTATGGTGCAAGTATAGGTCTTCAAAAATTTCTGATATTGTGCAAAATGTTTGAGTATAAGATCATTTTTTGACATACTTAAGGGGCGTTCACACCGACAGTGATTGAATTGCTTGAGATTACCAACTCTAAGTGCATTTGGTTTCTAGCAGTCATTCCAGTAGAACTTTATTTTGATGGTCTCTTGTGAACATTCAAAGTAACTACATGTCAACATGTCTCATTAGGGTATTAGTAGACTGTCTGCTTAATATCTGCCAACTCTTTATTGTGATGCTCCTCCAACAGACACTCTACTGACTATAAGTAACTTTGCAATTGCATCAACTTATTCTATCCCTAAACCTACCAGTCTACTAATACCCTACTAACACTCTAGTGATAGTTAATAGACCTTATAGTCAACTGAATGCGTTAAACGGACCATCCAAATACAAGACAGTATTGCTTTGATCAGCATTAAATTGAGCTCAGTGTCAATTGTTCCGATAATGGCAACTCTTGAAAATGAATGGTTTCGCTGCTAGTGCAAAATCTCTTTACAACTATTTCTTTACTGTTGCCTTGTCATGATTTTAGAGTCGTTTCGTTTAACTCCTTTCATCCAATGACATGTTTGTCAATGCATTGTTCCTCAAAGGATCCCACCAATGGATACTACAGTGTGAACACCTTTAAGGAGCATCATGGCACCCCAACCACGCTGGCGGGAAACCAGACCACAGAGCTCCGGCGAGACCCTGCCACAGCCACCACCGGCAAACAGCGGGTTCCCACAGGAATGTCTTTCACCAACATCTACTCCACCTTGGGCGCTGGACCCAACCGCCTGTACGACTACAGCCAGCGGTTTGTGCTGGGCATGGGCAGCAGTTCCATCGAGCTTTGCGAGAGAGAATTCCAGCGAGGATCGATGAGCGACTCCAGCTCTTTCCTGGACACACAGTGCGACAGCAGCGTCAGCAGTTACAGCAAGCAGGACGGCTACGTGCAGTTCGACAAGGACAGCAAGGCCTCGGCCTCCTCCTCGTCCCATTACTCTCAATCATCGTCCCAGAACTCAGACCTCACGCGGCCCCTGCAGAAACGCATGCAGACCCATGTCTGACTGCAGGAGATGGACAGAAGACAGAGGAATCCAGTGATGGGTTTGGCCAAAGGGGATTGACCCCCGACCCCCCCCCAGACGAAAACCAGGAAGCATTTCAAGCACATCTAGCACGCCGGTTTCATTTGATCCTTCACTTGTTTTGCTTTGAACATTCTTTGATGATATTCCACATTTGTCCAAATCTTATTTACAGCTCTGAAAAGCCTTACCGTTTTCAGATCCTTGTCGTGAGCTCATGGACTAAGCCCCTAATGTACAGTATGGGCCAAAACTTTCCCCAAACAACCGTGTGCCACAGTGACGTCACTTGCCAACACAGAAAGACACACGAAACAAAACCAGTGTCCTTGCTGTAGTTCCAGTAACTTTGAAACAGCTCTGAGTGAATGACCTCCTCGGAGAATGCGTAACAACATTGTTGAGATGAGATGAGGATGAAGGCTACCACTCCTCGGCACCATCAGAGAACAATGCTTTGTTACTCCTGTACATTCAAGCACAACTGTCAAAGTTGTATGTAAGATTTCTCAACGCCTCTACCACAGCTAGCTAAACAAAAGAAAAAATATAAAAGGACAAAAAAAATGTATGAACTGAATTAAAACAACTATTGTCAGTCAGTATCTTTGGATTCTGGCCCTTGTGACAAAAGTTTACCTGGCATAAAAATGTGAAAACCTCAGATCGAAAATGGCCATGAGCTGTCGGTTTACCATTCAGAGATAAGATGTTTGTGTACTTAGTTGTTCTTTCTTTCTGAACATTCTTTAATTTCAGTGTTTTAACAACTTGATTTCAAATTTCATTGGACTTGCACTGGGAACTAAGTGGATTGTGTAATCTCACCTACTTGGGAGCATTCAGTAGGACTATTTAAGGACCATTTGAACCTAAACTGTTTTCGTTTTTTCAAAAATACTATTCTTTCTGAAAAGGGTTGATCTGGTTGGGTGTTTGGATTTTTAAAAGATGCACTATGTCCTGTGTCCTGTTGTGAAGTCAAATTATAACGCTTAAAAATTTTCCTTTGATTCTTAAAAAAAAACCCGCCTGAGCTTGTTACACATGTGCTAGATATATTTTCAAATTGCTTGTTTCTTGCACACCACAAATTTAGTTTACAAATCAAGATCCAAGTCCTTTACATGTTGCTCCAGGTTGAATCTTCTGTCTGCTCTGCCATTGGACTGTACAGCATTGAGTACTCTCACTGTTATAAGTGAGCAATTTGTGTTCATGTTTTTTTTTTTTTTTTTTTAATGGAATGTGGGATTTCATACTTAATGTAAATATGTGTTGTTGCTGTTGTTGTTTTTTGTCTACAGAACTGAATTTGCAACCTATGGCACTACTGATAACTCAAGCACTTCACTCAAGGTAATATCACCTTTAGCCCCGAATCAAGGTACTGAAATACAGCAATTGGGCTAGGATCGCATGCTACATAGCAGAGAGACGCAAACAGAAGCCAATGCTGTGGTATATGGCAAGCTGAAAACTAGAGGCATTTGCCCAATTACTGTATAGTGACTAAACCACAGGCAAGAATCTCCAAACAGACATATTTCTGGCCCAGTGCTCTTCACATAAGTATTCTACCACAATTCATTAGAAATGGATATAATTGCTTTCATTATCTGCTCTATTTCTCAATTCATTCAGCATTTTGGTTATTGCTATACTGGGGAGAAATATCCAGACTACCAAAAAAATTAAAACATCAAAATGATGGCAGCATGTTTTTCTAGTACTAGACAAGAGCACAGCCATTATCTATGTGGTGTTACATCAAGTGGCATAATTGTATGAAATTGCCACTGACCCCTTTTAACAAGGTTGAGGCTCATCCCAGTTTGGGCGCCAACTGTGCTTACATCCACTGATACCAACAACTCTCTTCCTGCCAAAGTTTTCCTGGGTTGTGGCACTCTGAATCTACATTTAGTTGAATAACCTTTCCAAGCCCTATGACTGCACAAACAGATCGGGCATAACAGATATCAGTGTGTTTTGCTTATCAAAGCTTCTGACACTCCACTCTTTTATCTCCTCGTCAAGTTATCTCCCATTCCCCCCTCGCTCATAAAGATATATATGGCCAGAGGCGATTTCTCATATAAACGAGGAGGTGGAACTGTGGTTCTCGCTCTTGAAAATACAAAGATCCTGATTTTGACCCAAAGGAACCATTTTGATTTGCACCAACCTGACAACCCGAATTGAAGAAACACTGCAAGGCGTGACGCCGCTGAGTCAGTCGGTGCTGTAAGCACTTTACGTATTATTATGTTTGTGGCATTTCAATGGGTTTCATACATGAGTGCTGTTGGATGAGTCTAATTTTACAAATGGATTGGTGCCCATTGTGGGGCTTAAACTGGAAAAGGCCTGTTTCAGTGCTGATAGTACAGCTCAGTCTTCCCTACACTGTATATAAAACCTTCATGCTCTCTGTATGTACATTTGCAGTTATTTTGCTTTGTTCTTCAGTCAATTGATACTGTACAAACAATCAATCTTTCATTTTGAAATTTCCTCTCAGCTGATGGTGACGCCAGTGCTATACCCACAGCATAATATCTATGTTACTTTACTTGGCCTATCTTTCTCTTTTGATAACTCGGCACAAATTTCCCACAAGGAGAAATGAAAAAAAAAATAATAATACAGACCTATAGAAATCTTCCAACACACAAGAATCAAACTTGCAACGTGCACTGAATTTAAATCCAGGGTTTTTACACCTATTGACCGTTTTGGAGAAATCTTTTTTTTTTTTTGGACATTGGCCAGAAACTGCACTTTGTGAGTGAAATGAAATACTTTAAAGCTGAGCAAAACAATAATAGGTTCAGCATTTGTGGGAACCCGGAAAATATGAAAAACTCCAAACACATATTATGATTCTCATTTCATACTATTAAATACAGACTTTAAAAGGAGATGAAGTGTGTAATTTGTCCATGTAAAATTACTTTCTCTAACCATGGCATTAGTTTGGGGTGTGACTACCAGTACAGATGAGAGAGAGAAGAAACCTGTTAGTAAACCATCATTTTGCAATTCTGTTTAGCAACTCTGCATGCAAAGAAACTACAACTTAATATTAATGCATTTAATTAATGCTAAATAATGACGAAAAATTGCCATCCCTTATCCAAGACATACTTTGAATCATGGGTAGCATCCCTTTTGCCACTGCATTAACTTCCACTTTACAATGAGCCATATGGGTATTAATTATTTGACATTAGCATTTGTGTTAACAATTTATACCACATGGACTAGTTGATTCAGTCTTAAAACAATGGGAAAAGAGCCACAAAAACAGGTCCAGGACTCCATTCATGTAAAGAAGCTGCTAGCACGTGCTAAAATGAACATGGCGCCTGTGAGCAAATATTGGATTATGGCTGTTGTTCTGTTTGAGTAGCTCTCAGTACTCTTTTGTAGCCTGTGTACTTTTCTTATCACCCAGCCCTGGTGAGTTTCAATCCCCTCTCCCACTGGACCGCAAGTCTTGCCTGATTCAGGCACCGGATGGTCATGCACTTACAACCGAACCAAACAGATGAACAAATATCGCTCTGAATGATAGGACAGGGTCATTGCCAGTTTCAGAGAGCAGACCACATTTATGGGTTTTACATTTCTCCCCTGACATTTCAGCACAGCCAGGCGGGCTACTGGCTGATGGAATGTTATGAATTCCCCAATACTGTTTTATATAGGCCTCTCTATTATGACGATCCCAGAGCGGTTTGTTTGAGGATGCTCACAGTATACGTTGCCTAGGCATATTATTGTGAAAGCACTGCGGAGGCATTGCAACGATGATTTGTAAAATGTACAGCACGTAAGAGAGCGGATTGTGTTCGGTGACGGGCAGCTCTCTCTGAATGGTTTGTGTCAGCTGTGTTTTCTTTTTTTTTTTGTACATGTCTTAAGCACTTTCTACATCTGATTTTTTTTATTTCAAATTGTATTTCCACAAGACAATATCTAGTTAGTCTTTAAGTGACATGCTACTGCCGTAACAAAGATGGTGTGTACTCAGAGGTCGAGCAAATCAATCCAGCAGTTCTGAAGTTATTATACTGTAATGTACTGGAGTTATAAAAGAAGGTTAACCACTATTTTCTTGCAGTGACTCTCTCTATCAGTAAAAGCATTAAAAAGATGTACTTTACCTGTAATGGTCTGTGATCTTATGATGCTTTGGCTCTGTATATTTCTGAAAGAAAATTGAAAATCCTTTCAAAAAGATTTGTGCTTGATGTCTTTATTGAAACGTCTATGTGTGTTTTTGTCTGTGTGTGTGTGTGTGTGTGTGTGTGTGTGGTGGTGGGGGGGGGGGGGGGGTTGATCAAAGTCTATATAAATCAAAGAAAGTCTAAATCAAAATCAAATGGATTATCTCAAATCTATATTTAACAAGTGAAACTTCCCATCCCATGCTGCACACATTTATTTTGTTTGGATATTAAAGGGATAGTTCACTTTGAAATTATTTTTTGATATGTTTTAGCTTACCTCAAAGGCATCCACGATGTAGGTGTCTTTATTTCCACAGTATTTTCAATTTTGATGTTTTTAGGTCAAACCGTTCTTGTCTGTCAGTCATATAATGGAGGTCTATGGTCACCACCTCAAAGAGCATGCACAGAGAAGTCCAAATTAAACATGATTTAATGACTCGTAAATGTAAGTACACACTGATGGCCTAAGATACGAAACGAGCGGTTTGTGTGAGAAAACGAACAGTATTTATATCGTTTTTACTTCTTGTTAACAGCTATGTGAACTGATCTGAATCAGATGTTCAACTGAACCGAACTGAACCGTCTCCAAAGTTACGCCGGAAGTGATCTCTCGCGCGTCTACGTCACGCATTGTTTACACGGAGATTTCGGACGTTTTACCTTTCACTTAACATAAGATATACGGGGAATCGCAATGGAAGACGATTTCGATATATACTTAATTTTGGTTGTTCAGCCAACGAATGGTTTTTTTTTTTAGAGTTATCTCTGCATCATCGTTTATGTTAGCATTTTGGCGATTCAGTTGTGTAGCCTTGTTAGTAGTTGGACAGATGGACAAATTAACCTGTTTTTTTATGACTCATTATTAATTTGTTTTGAGAAAACGATTACTTGGTATGGCAAGACCAGATGGAGATAGATTTATTTATTTGAAGTGAAGTGCACCCACCTCTTCTGCAACATCTGAAATTGCATGAGACTTTTAATAAACCTGAATGACATCACCACTTTCTTGCAATATGGAGAAAATGTAAATTGTGCCAATCACTAAAGAAGTCATTTTTGGAAACCCCAGGAGATGTAATCTCAGGTAAAATGGTTTGTAATGTAGACTACATTGTGTTTATTTTCTGTTCTTTCATTTGGGGAAAAAAACAAACAAAAAAACAATACCTAAACTCGTAGGGGATCCCATTACTCTGGATCAGACCACAGTATATTACAATCCAAACTACACTCAAGAGGCTTTGGAATTGGATCACTAAAAACATTCAGAAGTTGCCCGGGCATTAAAATAAAAATCCAATTAAAATTATATATATATATATATATATATATATATATAGTGTAAATGTTTTATAAGTTGCATAAAACAAATATTTACACATACATGTATGAATGAATTTAAAATAAGCATATAAACATTTTACATAATTTCTATTCATAACAGTATATCCATAACAAACAAACACAGAATAAATATATAATAAATAGATAAAGTATTGTAGTAATCCAGATTCCAAAAATCAATAGTGTGAAATGAATATGCTGTGACATTTACAACTAAAATAGTTCAAAATGAGATCTGAGCTCACTTTTAGGACCACGCATCTTCAGTTCAGCTCAGTTTTAGTTATGTGAAAACTTTCAGTATCTAAATGAGGAAATGCAAGTATCTTTCACCCACCCTTTAAATGACTTTGTCTGATAATTGGATTTCAAATTTAACCAAATTTGAAATGTGACAGAAGTCTGAGACTGTAGAACTATGACATACCATTAGAAAAATATGATTTCCAAATCAAACGTTGATTGTTTGTGTTGCTGCATCATTTTAATCACTTTTCATTTGCTAACAATAAGTTATCTTAGGATTATCTATTTTGTGTTTCAGCCAAAGGACTGCATGCACAGTATGAATGATTTGTCTGTGTGTGTGTATTAAATTATAGCTGTCACAGGTTTGCATTTGTGTAATATAAAGTGAGCTTACAAAACCATGTGTATGTTGGGTAAAGGTAAATTGCAGTGTGCATTTGTGGGAATCTTTTGATGCTTTTATCTCAATGAGAACGAAATAAAACTCTGAATCAATAGCCGTTGTTGTGTTGTCAGTCTCCCGTCAGGCTTACCTCGCTGTCACAGCGCTGTGTGGGCTGCAATAAGAGCATGATGATGGAGAATTCAAAGAACACTATTTAATCACAAATACCCAGGAAACTACATGGCAAACGTATAGACGATCTAACAAAAACACATAAACGTTAGCAAGACCTGAATGAACAAATAACTGAATGAACTTAAGGCTTAAATACACATTAGTAATCAACAGAAAAAAGAGCAGGTGCGTAAATTAGGAACTAATGAACACAGAGAACACAGGCAAACCAGAACAGGGAAGACAGAACCAAAACCAGCCCGGTCTCATCCCCAAGGCATCATATACTGACGCTTTTGACATTGCGTCTGCATCCAACGCACATGGCACCCTTTAGCGTCAATATGAGACGCAGATATATATGGGCCAGAAGGCGCCTCCTAGTGGTCTAACCCTAACACTACCCCCGACCTAAACCTACCCATAACCGAAGCGTGTTATATTGACGCAAAAGAGTGCCATGTGCGTCGGATTTAGACGAAATGTCAAAAGCGTCACCTATAAAGAGAAAATGTGAGAATGCGTTTACCAAAACACAATGACACTGAAACACTGCACGTTACATGTGCACTTTTGTAGCATTTCTTTTTTTTTTCTTTCAAAACTGTGGTGAGAACTGATTGGTGCTAAAACAGTGGGTTTCATGACCCTTTAAAGTGTGTGTGTGTGTGTGTGTCAGCGCACTAGTGCCATAACTGCAAATGTATTGACTGTTTTCGAAAAAGTCTCCCGGACAGAGAGTCAACCATTAGTTGAGCCGATGTTGCGTAACATTTTAATAGCGCTACGGCACCAAAGTGTTTCTACTTTGACAAAATCAACCTATTAAAGATGCAGTTATCTGTTCACGCAACACATTCTCACCCTAGGGTGTCATCTAATGACGCTTTTGACAATGGGTATAGATCCAATGCACATGGCACACATTTAGCATCAATATAACACGGTTCAGTTATGGGTAGGTTTATGTCTGGGGTAGGGTTAGCGTTAGACCACTAGGAGGCGCCTTCTGGCCCATATATATCTGAGTCTCATATTGACGCTAAAGGGTGCCATGTGTGTCGGATGTATACACAATTTTAAAAGCATCACCTATATGACCCCTTGGGATGATTCACATTAAGCTGAAAGAGAAATAAGATCTCACTAAGATCTCACTAAGAGCATGGTACTGAAGCAAACAGCCATAAAACCCTCCCATTCGATGTCATTTATTCAAACACAGCTGTTTCAACAAAAGCGTGCACTGTAAAAAAATGATTTTTTGGTTAAGTAAATACTAGTGAAAAAACCCAATGTAATTTACTTGAAAAAGTTAGTTCAGACAAGAATTTAAAAAACTAAGTAAATTCCATATCAGTACTTATTTCAAGCGAGTATAAATGAAAGTGCAATATTACTCAACTTTTCTGATACTGGGGTTCCCATCATGCACTGGACCTTGAATAATTAATGAGGTTCATTTTTCACTGGTTTCCAGCTGTATTTACACTGTTTTATCATTGATTTTTGTTGTCAGTATTAGTAAATTGCCATTTTGTGACATTTCGAGTATATTTTTTTTGCTTAAAACGACACATTCAAACACAAAAACGATCCATCAAATGTTACCACCATTGTGTATTGTCTACCAAGTATTGATGTGTTTGCATTCACACAAGGCTTAAAGTCTGACATGATGTATATATAAATTTCTTAGATGATCTAAGTAAAGAACACACTATAAATGACTAATAAAATTCAAGATAATTGTTTTAGTGAAGTGTAATACAAAGGCAAAGGAAATCGGTATTAATCAACCTTTTACAAGCCGAGTTAAAATTACGTATTTTCTGTAAAGTTTACTTAATTCCACATTCCAAGTAAATTTAACTTAAAGATTTCTAATTAAAGCTACCGATAAATATGTTTAGGTTTTTACTTGGCAAATCTTTGTAAATTTACTAGCATTTTCTGAGTAAGATCGTTTAGCAAGGTTTTTTCAAGTAAATCCTACTTCATTTTTTTTTACAGTTTGAGGATGATAAACGTCTTGGTAATATATGAATTTTACATTAGAGCTCCTCCCAGGAAAACTGCACACAAAAGAGATCATTTAGTGTCTCCATTTTTAACTGCTTGCAAAATAATCAGCAGGGTTTTTTTTCCCCCATTTAGAAATTCAACTTGTTTTCCATCTTTTACACATTGTGAAACCGAACATGATTTCTAAATCACGTTTTCCTACAATGGGTCTTGGGTTTTAAAGGGTGTACTGAAAATCGAATGTCTTAGTCACTAGCGTCCTCAGGACTGAGGATTAAACGTTGGGCACAGATAAATCCCTCCCTCTTGATTGCTGGCAGTCGGCCGTCAGAATCCAACAGAGCATCTTAAATGGATTATTGATCTGATGACCTTTCTTTAGTTTAAGGTTTTCTCTTGTTTGCTTCGGTAATGTTGACTAAACTCACACTATAGACAGTGTGATTGATCAAACATGAGCTTCCAATATTAGACTGTTAATAAAATACTCGTGTTTGTCTAATTTAGAGAGGTGATGCAGGAAAGGAGAGATGTGAACTCTCATGAACCTTAAATTCCTTCTGCAATAATCCTCCATTTAACTTATGAAACATTATGATTGTAGTTGTTTTGTTGAGTTTTGAAGGGGACCGTTTTGAACTGATCCCATTATGTTGGTGATTTACTTTCAAATTGATTCATGAGACATTTTCAAGAATATTAAAATATTGTCTTTGACAACTGAAATTAGAATGGTAAATAAAGTCGAATTGTTTTCAATTTCTTTTTTTGTTGTTGTTGTTGTTGTTGTTGACATTTTTAGACCAGAAAAAGGGTGA